TGTCAGGGAGTCAGCGTGCTCTTCGATGACGTTCTTGGATAACCAATCAGAACAAGGATGGCCAAACTCAGGTGATTGGTCGGAACCGCCAGCAGTCAAAAATGTTGGCAACAATCCAGTTAACCAATCGTTTGATATATGCTCTCCCATGTTCTCCAGTTTCCCTATAAATAACCATGCTTTACGTAATAATTTAATTTTTCCACCCTCCCAGCAGTGTTCTGTTTCACTACCTGTGGGATCGCTATCTAGACGAGAAGCGTTAATGCGAAGACGATCATTTGTGAATCCAGCATCGAAATAGTTCTGTGCGGTTACAACAGTTTCTTGATTCGAACATTTACCAACCAGATGGATACTCACGTGAACCGTCTACAGGCACAAACACAGTCATCGTTGTTCTAATGGGAGGACCGCCCCCCTGAAACTTGATGACCATACCAACTGATAGAATTGACAATGAAACCGAATTCGAACTGTTGTTTTTCTCGCTTACTAGCATATATTTTTTTCAAAGAAAGTAGTGACCACATATACATGCTCACCGAGTACATCCATCAACGACCTCTACATAGTTCTGCTCGCACTGGATTGTATCGGGCATATGGAATGGTGAAATGAGGCAGGAAGATGTGCAAAGTAAGGAGTAGGATTACATGGACTAAGTTGAACATGTTGAGATCTTGAGGTGTATCGGATATATCGGCTAATGGTACAGATCATAGAAAGTGCTAAGGATAGTTTGTGTATGGTAATTTACATGCGTGTGTGTGGGAGGGGGGTGTAGTGAGTGAATGCATCACAGATTTCAGCTTCCTGTCGATCACGCGGTATCGTTATGTATCGGTGTTTCGCAATATGCTTGTGATGGAAACACAGGCTCACATCCGGTGTCTGCAGGGAAGATGTCCCATCCGGGTTGGTCACGTTTCTTGTGCACGGATCCCTCGTTATCATCCAACTTGGTCTACAATGAAGGTAGGGCACAATGAAAATGGCCAGTTGTTTTTTGTTTCTCAGTCAGACTAGTTTACGGTAGTTTTTCATGCTACAGGGAATAGCGACTCAAGGAGGTGCGATACAAAACAAAAATCTGTGGATTCGTAGGGGCCGATGATTGGATTTAAACACGTGATCTACGGGTCAGGTTGTTGTTGGCGGGCGATAACTGTCACATTGCTTCTTATGCGAAGTTCTATGGAGAAACTGTTTAACAGCATGCAACGGGATATCAGAACCTGAAGAGTTGCACTGGAGGATTGCTGTCACTATTCGTACTGAATCCCTTTGACGGAAGCGATTGCTAACCGCATTGTCAAGAATTATTCTGAAATCAATTACTAAGGCTCCATTGGGTAGTACACGAATCACTAACAGGTCAAATTCAGCAAAGCTTTGGTGCATCCAAAGGGTGAATTCTCAGCCATTTACCAGTCTCTGCAGGGAATATTTATGAATAACGATAAAAATAAATATACACAAATTTGATATTCATTGGCTCTGTTTATGGAGAAATTCGTCATACATTCAAATCAAATCCTTCACTGTACTCACGTAAATATGACACTGTAGTTTAAGGGAAAAAAGTTAATGAAAAATCGCTCCCTCAGCTCAGTGATGATAATTATACGATTAAACAAGAGACGGACAGGGTGCGGAATGACACTGTTTCTGTGTGTGTGGATGATAGTGCAGAAAAGAGCTTATATTTAGAACAAGTTCGAGTGATAGAGAATGACTTTTGTCACACTTTAACCTGTAAATAAACCTATTACATGTTCCAAAATACAAGCAAACTCGACCACGACAACTCTATCAATTTAACCGTGTTTGAACAAAAGTTTAAGGGACTTGAAGAACAATGTGAAATATTTTTCTCAAACTATGAATTACTATCGCAGAGCAGCTGCAGATCACGAATTTAACAATAAGGTTGTAGGGAACGACCATTTTCCTTAGCCTCTATGTATATAACGAAAGTCTAGGAACTTAAAAATACGCTATCAACATGGGCATACCAGGCAGGACAGGGTGCGCTTGGGAATCACATCGAGGTATTCCACGGAATCCGATTTAGAGATACTTTTATTATTGATCATAAACTCAGGGAGATTACTCAACAAGGTACGATAATTTGGCCGATTTGGATACTAATGTGAATATCGATATATTTACTAATGTTGAATGGGGCATAGACCAATTGTGACGTTCAATCAGGATGTGCTGTATGGGGCCTAAACTGTATGTACCTGGGGATGAGTAATCTATAACTATATAATCAACATACTGGTGGGTATTAAAATTAGGTTGAATGTTGAGGTTCTGTATAAACATAGAAAAAAATGAAGGAGACGTTACAGCACCCGGAAAAATATCAGATTCAATATTCAAGAAAGATGACTATCATTGTATGAGGTAAATTGGGTCCTACCGGGAAGTATTCAATTAAAATATTTAAAATCTCCGGTGTCGGACCACACTCAGAAAGACGTTCAATATACACTCTTCTTTCGGGTGAAGCGAAGACATTTGCGTGCGTGCTCAAGAAAAGTTCAACAAGCAATAGCTGCATCATTGTCTAATACAGATGCAACGGAATGCGCAATATGGGCAACATAAGCCCGAACGGTGACTCTCGGAGTAGTAAACTGCACAGTTTTTTTCTATGCTTTTATCTAATCTAGTCTACTGATGAGTGCTCAGTCAAGACTGTATCCCCACAGTTATGACGTAGATGCATTCTGTCTTTTCTGTCACACGACAGTGTTTTTATCAGAAACTCCTGTTGACCAGAAAGCAAGCTTGTAACCAACCCGTTTATGCTATCTGGATAAGTGAGGAAAATACTTTTTCAAAACAAAGGTTAACCTATGATTCTTAAACACTTGAGCGAACTCGGTTGGAATGTGCTACATGTTTTCTCGTCTTTGGGTGTCCAGTGGCTCCAATTAATCTCCACTACCACAGGGAGAATAAATAGACGTATCCGGTACATTCAGACCTCATGTGTTTACATCACGTTTGAAGTTAACACTCGGTTACAAGACTTGCTAGTCAAACAAAAACTATTCAATCGGATAAGGAGAAACACAAAGAGAATTTCATGCTTCAATTAAGGAGCTATCTTGAGAGTACAAAAAAGTTTGCCTCGATTCATCCTGCTCATTAGACCCAATCAGGTCGAATCAGTGCCTTCCAGTGCACGTTTCCTTTACTCCGTACACTGCGAGGTCCGCCATGTAATTGTATCAAATCCTCCACTACTTCCATGTAGCAAGTAGTCAGGTTTGTAATTGCTCCGATTGAGTCATAACCTTGGAGGCCAGTGCATTGTTGAGCTAGGTGTGATACTCGCAACGCGCTTCAAAACAAGGATTGCGTGCATAGACAAGGTGGACAACAACCAATACTTCGATGGTCAAAGTAAAAATATCACAGAAATGAGTAATTTTATAACGGTTGAATAAAAATTCAATTATCCCTATCAAGTACATCACACAAAGTGGGTGCAATCCGTTCAACTGCGTGTTCACATCAAAACACCAGCATTCTTCGACTTTCCGGAATAATCTGAATCTATGTGCATGCAGTTTCAACCATACAGATGATCAGCTGTTAAGAGCATTTTAGATGTTCCAGCCCATCTTGAAACGATTCATACCGGCCGGAGTACTACAAATTGGGTAGCATATTCAGTGACAACTTTTTGTAATAAACTCATGACCTTCTGATCAATTCAAAACTTAGGATCTCAATAGACACCGTTGCGGGTATAGGTTCATTATGCAACTTTAGGGTTTGTGCTGTTCCAACGAACTCTATCCAAACATTGCGTTTTATCTTCTAAAGAACACTGAGTAATTCTCATTGCATTTTAGGATTAAAGTAGATCTGTGGGAAAAATTGAGTGTGTGTGTGTGTATAAGGTTAACTCAGAGCCAAAACTTATCGGTGAAGGGTTTTCACGCTGATTCCTAAAGTGAAAATATGTGACAGTATCGATAAAGCAAGAATTACAAAGTAAGTACACATTGACGGAATGATGTTGAAGACAGAAGGTGGTTGATTTAGCGTTGAACGCAGAACACTAGACATGAGTATTGATGAAAGCAGAGAACAATGTATGTGACCGAAACAAAAATTGTATGACCGTGTTAGCTGAAGCAGGATGGGAATGATCATGGTTCGTGTCACTTTCTTCAGCTCATACTGGTCCTCAAGTTTGGAGCTATGTGTACCTCGTTACTCATCTTTGATGGGAAAAACTATCACGTCTATTGCATTAGGATCTATAGGTTCATATCAACCAGTTCTACAAGCGTCTGAGCACGGTTTTGACCCACCCAGATTTACCGAATAACTCTGCAACATTAGTTTTGCGCATCTCGTTAGCCCTAACTTTGCACCTGTCGTCCAAAAAGTCGGTTCTGTTCAAAATACAATTGTACGTCAATGGGAAGAAATTAAATTTTGTTGGCTCTAGGAAATAATTCTTAATATAGCCTACCATATACTTGTTGTTTAAAATGACAAATTGCTTCCAGGAAACAACTTTCAAGAACTTTTAATGGTGCCCTGTCGCTTGAGAAATTGGTTGAAAAATTAAAAAAAAAGGATACAGAAGTTTGGACAGCAAATGGGTCTGGCAGCGCTGACGAGATCAACGTGAAAGCTTGAAACGATATCCGGACATCTTGAACTGATATTCATACAATTTGAATTGAAAAAGGCGCATATATTCTAATACTTCAAATGTGAAACGATAATCAATTCACTAAACTAAAAATATAAATAAAACTCGAATGAAAATATTACCCACTACCAATATATATCAAACAAGTCCGTGATCATCCAATGTTTGAATGAAATTCGCGTATCGGATCAATTGTGTGCTCTCATGAACTAACTCCCAACTGAATTGGTTTGCGAAATTCATCCGAGGTTGTTCCATAGTGAGATGGTTTTTATTTATCGCAGATTTATATTCTTGATTACGTTTGGTCGTGGTTACTATTTAAAACCCTGTTATAAATCGAATCTGGCTAACGGGAAAACCCAGTTGAACACCTTCAGAATGCACAAATTAAAGCACCACCATTTCCCTCGCCCTTGCACTATTATCAGCAGACAGGCTCTGGGTACCTTGCTGCACTTGATTAAATAGTTGGTACATCCAGGATTCATCTAGTTTGCTTTCTTTGTTATTAATTTAAAATAAAGTACACACGCTTACCGATGATGAAGACGATTGTGAATCAGATTCTCCGACATCACTGAGGCACACTTTTCGCACCGGGGGAGTGCAATTGGAGGATAAATTCTGTTTTTCTTTCTCCTCACTACCCGAAGAGAATGTGAATCTGTCCGGTTGAAGTTGTTCAAAGCAGTCGCTTCGAATGTGTGTGCCCACAAGGATACCGGAACCGTTGGGTTGTTGAATGCTTGATGAGGACATCATAATCCGATCGCAAGGTGCGTTGTTAGTCGATACTCCCGAATACGATCCAAACACACAAGAATCTGAGCCAATGGATGGGATGCGCATGTCCAGATTGTATGATGAGCATCGATCACTCGATGACTTAGGGAACTGAGATTCGGTATTTGAAAATGGTGGGGAACCAAGGCAGGTAGACATACGCTTGTTAGCAGTGATTGTATTTGGTTGAGTACGGTTAGAGGGGACACCTGATATAGGATTTTTAAACAGCAATATGTTGCTTGTCCTTCTTCCAGGAATGACTGAAGGGTGTTGACTGGAAACCTAAGAAATAAATAAAAAGGTGAATTTCAAAGATACGTTAATAGGGTCATTTGTGTTCCAAGTGTAGTGGAGAAGGCACAATTGGTTCAACGGATGGAAACTCACTGATTTTATTGAACCGGATCTACTGGTGAATTTTGTAAGACGCGAACCGGAGTGAGAGCTTGATGCCATAGAGTGAGAGTTTGTACGAGATGCAGCATTCCTTGGTTTGCGTTTGCGTGTTTGAATGCCTTCTTTTTTCATTGATATGGGACGATTCACCTAAGAGGAAAAAGGGAGTAATCAAGGAGGCAGTATTAGCAGAAAATTCGTAATACGCTTTAGGATCTACGGAATAAGTAGATGCTCGTTTCAGGAAAGCAGAGCTGATGAAGTCCCACACTTTACTTGAATCACTATCCGCACTACACACTCAAATGTGCTATTTTTGACGAAAGTAGACCAATATCTAGTTGGGTTGATGGATTCGCACTGTTACCTAGTCCCAACCACGTCGAAACACCTTCTAAGTGCTTCCTAGCATTTCAGTTCACGCTCCATTCGTTCTGTACAGGGCGAGATTCACCAGTATACCGCATATTTCACAGGGTCAATTTGAACTTCGGAACTCATATGAGAAAGTTTCACAGTTTGATTATTCCCGTTAGAGGGAACAATATTTAAAACTTGATTAAAAAAGGAACTTTATGTGCATAATGTTCGGTTCAAGTTTAACGATGAGATACATCGACAAAAGGATGAAGTCTCCGCTGAGACCGCTTNTTTCTCGGATTTATTCGCGGCGAAACTTGAAAACACTCAATTACAGTCATCCATCGGAGACTGTGTACTATACACACGGTACGTAGGTGACATTTATTGTGTGATCAATGCAACATCAAACATAACGAAAATACTAAACAGGTTCAGCAGTGCGCATCCCAACATAACATTTACGTTAGAAATGGAGTGTAACAACAAATTGCCGTTTCTAGATGTCTGCATCACCCGTTGATCAGATGGTTCGGTGCAGCGTTGTGTGCATAGAAAGGCAACTTGGAAAGATCAATACAGTCATTTCAGAAGCTTTGTGCTACTGAAGGTAAATAGGAACCTGGTTCTTTGCCTAACGGATAGGGCAAGAAAGATCTACAGTGAGGACACGCTAGAATGCGAGCTCCGTACTATAAAATCTATCCTTGCACGTAACGGGTATCCGGAGCGTTTAGTCAACAAGATGATTCAATGCACAGAAACTCTGTACAAAACACTGAGGTTAAGAAAAAATCCGTATACATTTCTTTACCGTTCGAAGGGGACACATCAGCTGAGGTCATGCAAAGAAGATTATCCCACACAATCGATAAGACTCTCTATGCATTTAAGCTTCGTGTATTGTTCACATCCAAGCCAATTATACATTGCGATTGAAGGACAAAGTTCCAGACTCTGCGTCTCATTCCTTATATACTCATTTACCTGCTCCTGTGGAACAACGTACATAGACCTTATGGTCAGGCGATTATCCAAACGGATTCATGAACACCACCCTGCGTGGCTGAACACCAGAACGATTAAGTCATTCACCAGTGCAGTGGTTTCACACTTAGCTAAAACAAATCACACTGGATTTGTCCGAGGCTTTCCGACCCCCGTACAAAGTTCGTGAACGATTATCGAGGCGGGTTCGCTGTCTGATGCTGGCCACAGCAGAATCAGTGGGCATTCGTCTGCACAACTGTGGTGTTTCAGACTTCCGTGACCGCAATCCATGCACGACTAGGTACAGTTTCATGTCATCCAATCACCGTTCAGGAAGCTCGACCAATGGTACACTGGGCAAACGTGACATCCGAGTTAGTACATATGATGCGTCGACGCAAACGGTTACGTAATTGGACGACGGCCCTTCAACCAACCATATGAGCTATTACCTTCTATAAAACATGCTCTAATTCTATCAATAAACATAAGCATTTGCTGCTATCAATTCCTCGTGTATTTCATTGGTGTCCGCAGTTCGGGTTGGAACCAATTCAGTTCTGAGCAGTACAGTACGGAATCTCGTATTCCTAAATTCAATACTATTCCGATTACTACAACAACCCCCCTCTGTGTGCCCAAAAACAATTTGTGCAAGCGCTAAAGCTTCCTTGGCCTACCCACCCACACACCGCATCACGAGTAATCTCGATGATCGGATGAGTGGACAAACAAACATGTGATCTTGGTGAACCCGATTTCGGATCTCACGATGAAATCGTTTCTAGTAACCTGTGATTTGACTCTATTTTCCCAAGACAATTTTATTCCCAACTAGTGATATTGAGATGTATTGGCCTGAATACAAATCTCTGAAAACGAGCTTGTTCGCCACTGTCGTTTTGTTTGAACTTTATGTGATACATTGGGTCATGAAACCTGTTCCCCATTCGAATGGACCTTCACCGGAGCAAACACATTAGCCTACATGTTAGCATGCCAGATGCATAGATCGGATATCAGTTCTACTCATTCAAACAATCGCTGAGGAAAAGCTGTCCGCTTGCGCTAACTACATACTACAGGAAAGAATTTCTGTTGTATATAGTATTATACTACTAATGAGTAAACCAGTTGCATAATTGGATTTGCTCCAATACGAAGTGTCCCAATCTGTTACCTTGTGTAGCTTGTAGTACAGCCCACACGCGTTGCATACGGGATCTCCGTCAGCATTCCGACGCCAAAGTGTGGTTGCCGATGTATTACAGTTGGTGCACAACTGACCCGGACGACGACATGCCTGACCCAAAGTGTACTGAAAAGAGAATAAAAGTGAAAACAATCACTTGCGATGTTTTCAAACAGAGATGTTTGACCTCGATGTGAGTTAATTAAGCCTTAAGATTCTTCTCAAGTATTGCTAGTATCAAAACTTTCTTACCCAAGCTTCGCTCATCATTCTATTAGACATATTCTGGATGGCAGGGAAGGTCGAGTGGTTCATATAGCATGATTTCAACGTAACCACCAATTAGTACAGTGGGCATTAGTGTTGCATCACTAGTGACTATGCCCCGGGGTTGAAAACCTTTCATTTACGAAATACATTTTGTCTTGGACAAATCAAAGTAGATTATAATTGAAATTCTCCATAGTTGGTTCAGTGAACTCCTACAGATGATTATGGCCTATGCAGTCACGCAGTAGGTGAAAAATAAATTAATCCTCGTGATGGTTGCTCGGTTTGGTAAAAAAAACTTCATTCGATGATCAAATGAATCCTTTCAAGTTCTCTTATATAGTTTCTTCTGAATCACTTGAATAGACTGTGAGGCAAAGCAATAATGAGTCCGAACAACGTTGAAAAACATGTGTAAAAGATCGACGAACATGTAATATACGAATTACGGGTATCAAAACTGCGTTTCTGCGAACATATCCTTATCTCTGGAAGTAATGAATAGAAGTTGCGTATGTCTAGCTGTACAATTAACCAACTGATTCATTCAAAAGGAAGTCAACAGCAATTAAGTTTGAAGGCAATTTTTCGAAATATATCACCTTTCATGATTTCATTTATGGAAAGATTTTCAGAAACTTTCATTAGCACAGTTAAATGTAATATGTTCACCCCGATTCCCAGTGCTCTTCCATTAATTACCCAAACCAATGCCACCGCGCGTCGAGGCATTTATGAAAACGTATTCGCCACACTGGGACCACCTGTTATCACCACTGAACAGTCTTGGAAACACTGTGCAGGTTTTATCAGTGTTAGAACCTATTACTCACCGAATCGCTTGGGATTCGAATACAGAAATGAAATGTTGTCCAGAAGACGCGCTGAGCATTTGGGCTACTCGGGTTGTCGCTCATCAAGCAGCTAGTTACACAGCAACACTTTGTCCCTCGCTCATCGTCATTGAAAGTAGCAAATTTTACCCTACAGAGGGATGCAGTTATTGTTCCGTCTCACGGTCTTTCTAAGTGTTGCCGTCCTAATAATATAGATTCAATTGTTCGGTGGTTGTCCCTCTATATATTGAGACTTTAGCACCTCAATGTATTCTGAAAGATTATCTTTGAATTCCTGACTGCTTGAATTTTTCTTTACTAACCGTGTTGTTCTCCCTCATTTTATTCCCCCTACCATATTTTCCTGATTCCATTGACTCCTAATAAGATGTGGTTATGCAACCAAGTGCATCTTGGTAGACTCGATTATTTGTAAGCATTGTTATGCCTGTGGTTAGTTTGGTGATGTAGACTTGTGCAATAAAAACTGTCGTTTAAATGATGAGTCTTACATTTCTCTATCTAACAACCGTACGCGCTCCAACTTTAAGCTTGAATCTGTTGGTGGTGCCACCACTTACGGGAAGATTATAGTTTTTAATCATGCTCACCTTTTGTTTATGCGGGAATAGACATCCCTTGCTCTTTAGATTGTTCCCTTTTGCTCTCTTTAGATTGATTCATATTTTTGCAGTTCCCTTCAACTGGAATTTCATGAACTGCTCAAAATGTACTATCTGAGAGTATAAAACTTGCTCCGTCAAGAATCAACTCAACCGAACTTGAATAAAGGAAATAAAACGGATATGCATCACCCCTCAAAAGTAAGTTAGATAAGTTAGATATAAATAACTAATCCCACGTAGTAGGGTTGTGACCAGTTAGCTCTTAACCTGTATGGAAGACATGATTTGGTGAGAAGCCTCCGATTGAACTTAGCAGATAGTCAACTGTTTCCCTTCGTTGCTATCAGGCAAAAATTTATTGATTGATTATGACCGAAGACTTTACCTGAACAAACATGTATTGTAAATTCAATTCAGCCCTATTATGAGCTGATTGGAGCTGCGGTAAAAGTATACTGCACGCCATGGATCCAGATTTCAGAGCTCGGACTAGACGGTGGATATGCCCTAGTGACGAGCTTTATCAAGAGCGGAACTTGAACCTAGTGCTTCGGAGTGTATGGTTGACTCGAAGAACTGATGATTATGCATGGATGTGAAGTCCTAAGGATGGTCAGGCTAACTCGACATCAATTAGCCCGCGCTATTTCTCACAAGAAACTGTAAATTAAATGTCAGACACAATTAATCACAAAATTACTCCGCTTGCACCGAATCCAAATTCACCATAGCTATTGATACGCCAGGATCTTGATCGCCTTCTAAACCTTCGCCCTTGTGCATGCAAACGGTCCATCAAATATGGGAATGCTACTTCCGTCAAGTATGCTTACTGTTTTATGGTTGACGCGGTGCGCGACAAGATCTTCTGGCATGAATACAATTGATACTGTGCTCATATGACGCTCATGTGTTTCTATCCTTATTAGCTTAACTTGGACAAAAATTCTTCAGTTATCGTCATACACAAAGAAACAACCACTTTCTAATGCTTGTAATCAGTGTTAATAAGTTTGCACTTGGATGGTAAAAAGATTACTCTAAAGGGTGTGTTATTTTATCTGGAATCTCGGCATTCGGTTTATTTGTTTACAGAAATTACAATTTTAACAGTTCCATCATAAACCTTTCCGTTCAACGTCCGGATTATTTGGAGGTCTAGCTTGTTACGTTATTCATCTCTGATTCAAGTTAAAAATTCGCATATGCTTCAGGCTTACCAGTTGGTCATCCTTTGAATGACGTAATGCATTCATCCCGTACGAGATGGAATTAAGTCGAGGTAACCTTTCCCAACCGGACAGTTTTACTTGTCCACTATCACTTCCGGATACATCTGCTGTCGTCTTCGATCGACTTGGCACATGAGGCAAAAATGGCGGACTAAACAGCCCAAATGGGTTCTGACTGTTGCATTCCCAACCGACATCGGAACGGTGCTTGTTCCAGGTTGTGCATCTTTCTTCATGTTGATTGTTCGAACCCACGGGACAGTCCCGAAAGGTCCGAATATCAGTTCGATTTCCCAGTTCCGATGTGGTCCCCGGTAAAGATTGTGCGTTAACACTTGGGAAGTAGTAAGGATTTGGAATAGTATTTGTGACCTCTGTCCCACCAACTGATAGAGATGAAAACCTCCAGTTGGTTATTAGCTCATTTGGTTGGAATGTATTGGATTTGGTTGCTTGCAAGAGTCGAGGATATTCCCAGTCATTGGTCCATCCGAAGCCCTGTGTCCTCATTCCGATCGAGTCAAATGGATATGTGGGATAGTTCTGGTACGGGATCGAATCGGGCAAACTGGATGAGTCATGCGGTATGCAGTTTGAATGAATGAAATCCGGAAAAGTGGATTCGGGTACATCTGATGTGGAGGAATTTGTGTGGCTTTGGTTTGGACAAAAGGAATTGGATTCTGCGGAGACAAAGAAAATGAAGTAGGAATCAGACGAGAACACAATGTGTTGACAAGGTCTTTTTAGCCCAAAATGTAGCCCGAAAATATACGTGCGAATCACACAGTCGTTTGTGCATCTACTTCTCATTTGTCATTCGAATAAAACCATATCAGAAAAACCTGTAGGCACACTATTTTGAATCCAGATAATGTATCAATGAATGCAAACCATGATTGCGGTGAACCTGTATAAATGTCGAACATTTTTATAGTTTTAATCATCCTCGGATATAGCACACAAGTCATTTTAACCTTTTTGAGAAGGTAAAAACAGCTCGTTACAAATCAATCAATCAACCTGTTCGAATTCAATCGCCTACCATATAAAGAAGGAATATGGCTGGTTCGTCCCGGCCGAGATGATTCATGCACGAGGGCCACGTATGCAGGTGAACCGGCTGGCCGCATCGTATACTGATCCGTGATTGTTTCTGAATCGGTCTCTTTTGTGCTGCACTGACGAGACAGACCACAAGCTGAACAGAGAAACAATTCTGTTCGTGGATCTCGCGTCCAACCGACTGTGCCCGTCGGGCCACAGATACCACACTGGACACATTGAATTATTTCGGTGTTTTCGGGCTCCGTCGTGCCACGACTTTTCCCGTGTTCTGATTGGACAGAATGGGGGGACGGGAACCGATTAGAAGTAGAAAGCCCTATGAAACTAATCATGATTTTTTCTCTTCTAATCGACACCGAGCAAATATGGTAAACCACACTTACTAAAACACCAGACTAGTAGTAATCTGTCATCATACGATAATAGAGCAGCAAGCTGAGCTTTTGCTCAAAATAACCGAAGCCGATAAATTCGTCAAATCTGTTTCAAAGTAACCCGTGTACCGATCACGGTATTTCAGATTTATTTGCAGATTGGTTCCACCGAACGCCAGTTTCCTTTGCTTTGGTCAACAGTGTCCACTTCAAAACAACATGTGAAGCGAATCAATCTTTTGTCACTTCTTATGATCGACCACGACACTAGGTTAGATTCACGTTCCAAGTCGAAATAAACTCATGTTGACGTCAGTCACGCACCCGGAATCCATCTGCCGGTCAAACTGTTTATTCGGGACGTATGGTCACACCTCGAAATAGATGCAGTAGATCGATTAAACTGTTGCTTGGTCACGTGACAGACCTCAGTCCCTTTGGTAAAAAATTTAAAGGATCGGTTGATCAAGTTATAGAGGAGGCTGAGTGAAACAATCAGACTCCATAGCCCTAACATGAATGAATGTACGAACAGGAAGAATAATAGGGCATCGGTTAGGTTGTCGAGTGAGGGAGCTAGTATGCTTCTCTTCCCGCCACCACCTTCAGGCCGAGTTGATGCATGGTGGCTTACGCCCGTCTCATTCATCAGATCCAGTAGGGACATGAATAATAGTTTTTCAACATCATAGCTGTTTGTTTTTGTGTGTGTGCGTGCGTGCGTGTGAGAGAGAGAGAGGGAGCACGTTCAACTCCGGGCTAGGTGGAAGACCACCGTACTCTTGTCTTCCGCCACCATCGCATGTGTACGAACTAGCTGGTGGGCGGACACACAAACAAGTGACACAAAAGTATTCAGACGGGGGTGATTAAGGGAGGGGTGATCGTAAGCTAGGGCTGGACACTACATACACTTGCGCGCACGCGCGTGCGGTTGTTCACAAATAAGCGAACTGGTGAATGGGTGGGTGTGTAGATGGATAGGTGGATCGTTGGCGCTACAACCTGACTAACCTCAGAGCCGTTTGCATTGGCGAACATTGATGTCATGGTGGCTGTTGTCTAAAGACTGATTTTGTGAATAATAATGCTTCTGCCAGCCCGTTCGCCTGTCATTTCCGCGGCGTTCATAGGCGTGAGCGCGAGCGAGCGGGCGTTTACATGCGTGTGTTTACTCGCCTTATCAGTGCGGGTAAACACACCGCAACCGTGGCAGGCAGGGAGGTAGCTAGGTCGCCACGGTCAAGCCTCAACTGAGGACGGGACATTGTTGAGTTTGAAGCTGGGGTATATTCGCGCATGCGCTTGTGAAACGCCGAACTGTTTGTGGCGCTCGTTCGCCTGTCGGATTTGCTGTTTGTGGTGAACTCACAAGGGCCGCCGTCATGGGATCGGTGGAGTAGAGTGAACAACTTGGGACGCGAATAGCCGGACTGAAGAAAAAGGGTTGGTGTGTTTGTAATACAAACAAAAAGCGTACACTGCACCGCAGGCTTTGCTCCCTCTGTATTGAGGTGGTAAAGCTGGAACCCGATTTTCGTACCGTGCTCAGAACGCAAGTTTTCTACAGTTGTGAGTGAATGCTTGGTCAATAAGTTTCTCACAATTAATTTGATCTGCCTCATTATGGCATTGATAGCCGGTGTTGAAATATAGGATCATGCGTGCCTACGTGTGTCTGTGAACAACATGAGCATTCTCATTAGTACAGTTTCTTGGGTGTAAATACTTACTTTCGGTGCTCACACCCCCGAGAAAATAATCAAAAGAATATGTCCTGAATGCCCCTAATACTTCTGCCGTATTCCATATGATTGTCAATCCCCGAGAGAAGACAATCGGTGGTTGTTACTTAGGAGTTTCAGAATATTAACCGGAACAAAACAAGAACTATAGACGGAGACATATTCCATTGGACAGTACTTTTTTGCGAACCAGATCACATTCGATTTGATTTGAAATAGAAATAGATACATATGTCAGACAAGTTTTCACGATTTCAAAATATAACAACACGTGACTAAATTCGCTGAAATAGAGGTCAAAGAAGATCACCAGAATCCAGTGCACTGTTGACATGAGGCAAATCCATCCTCATATCTAATGTTGTCACCTTTACATTTGTATTATTATTATTATTATCATCTGATGTCGATTATTTTTCGTGCATATGCATATATGTATTGAGTGACTCAGCAAATATGACAAGAATAGTATGAATCATTACCTGAGTAAGCTGTTAGACAGGGTGATTTAGCATTATTTTCAAACGTCACGGACTCATACATGGATGATGAAGTTGCTTCCGTCGAGTACAGATTTGTCTCGTCCGAAATCGATTCACTCGACAAAAATGGACGGTCCCACGGGTAGTCTGAATTCATATAACCCGAAAGATTTGAAGCAACTGGTGGAGGATAGGATACGTTGTAAGAGGAAGTACATAGCTTTTGAGTAGTCTGTTCACTGGCGGAAGATGTCGTCGTGAAAGTCACCATAGGATTCGCTTCGAATGATTCTGAAATTCCATGTCTCTTGGTCGAATGCTCTCCAGAGGTAGTCGATGAATGTGGTGATGGTACAAATTGAGGTCGAGAAGTAGCAGCCGGCTCACAAGCGGGATGTAGTTCTGAAAAACCTGGTTCCGCATTGACTGTTGAACCTGGTGCTGTCTGACGTGATGGATAGTTCATACGGGAATAACCGATCAGAGGGAAACAGGAGGATTGTGTGTTTTCTGAGACCAGGTCCTGGTCCACGTGGGTAGATGGACTGAGGGGTGACGTAGTCAGATTTTCTGGGAATGTGAACCTTGGGTCATTGATGCGAGATGAATGGAAGGGAAGTTTCGGCAGACTGCAGGTTGTCCATAGTGACAAACTGGAATTGGGGTCAGTCATCAGATCAAGCGTCGAGGTTTCCTCTTCGAGGGAATTGTTGACCCATTGTGAAACAGATTCACTGGTCTCTATAGTGACATCTCTGCAATCGGTTGTCACATTCGAATCAGTTGTGAATTGGCTTAACTCCGACGGATTCGCCGTCTGACTCAGTGTCCCACTCCAATCGCTGGACCCCGGTTTGCTTGGTGTGATATTTTCCACTTTGATCAATTGGTCTGGTTGCACATCAGAAGACAGAGGTGAATGTGGTTGGAAGCCAGTCTCGATCGGGCGTTCCGATGTATGCGGATTGTCTGCATTTGTATAATTTGGAAACTGTTGACCCACGGGACTGGCAGAGGGGTATAGTTGAAGAACTGTTTGATATTTGCTGGCCAAGGAACAGTCGGAACTCATGGTCGTCACTAACTTCTTGTATCACTTTGAGCTATGAAGAAAAAGAAATTGAGAATGAGAACACGCGTTCAGAGGCGAACAATTGTTTGCATTGGGAATAAAGTTCGGTTATTAGAATTGTATTTTCAGTTACCAGTACTGCTGTATGCGAGAGTAAAGTTGTCCGAAGCAGGATAAAACATCGGTTCAGTGCTCCTTGCTGTTCAGCACAGAGATTTCTATCGCATTTATAGTAAGTTTACTCAAATTGATGCTAAAATCCAGAATGAATGGTTGGGTTCATTAGGCGACCTCATTACACAGGTAATAAATAAAACTTCGAAAAAATTGAGGGAAGCAAAGATTAAATATCCAAAGGTAAATTAACTGAAAACTAACACATCCATCTTCATTTCTGCCTGTTCCCTAAGCTTTTACCACTCCACAAGCACCGATGATATTACTTCGGTTTTTTGATGAAACGTCTGCAAAGGCGAACGAACGAAAATGAATTAAGTCAACCTGGGTGAGCTAAGAGAACCGATTTTTAATACTTTGTCAACATTTATCTTTGTTAGAGAAATTGGTAACTTCTAAAGGAAGTTTGAATGGCTGCTCATGGAAGTTAGTTGTACATGTTGCACATACATTCCGTTATTATTGTCTATTGTATTTGTTACTAAGAAGTATCAAGCAAAGTGCCTGTATCCTTTTCAGTTTAAAATGTCATAACATCAATTTATTGCGTACATAGAACCAGGATACATGAACTTGATACTAGGACACCTTAAACTAAAATGATATGGTAATTTATAAAAATCATGAACAACTTCTGCAATATTCGTCAAGGTTTTACGATACATATAAACGTTATTTATTCAAACTGGATATATTGAAATAAACTGTTAGCAGAAAGATGGGGTACCTCATTTCACCAGAACAAATCGCGCACAAGTTCATCTGATCGCCTAGAACTGTGCGCACAATTCCACAATTAACGTGAATATGCGACTGAATTTTCGTGAACTCTCCTCTGTTGAACTTCATCCGGATTCAGGACATGATGAGTTCTCTCTCCTCTTGATTGATTTTCTGGAAAAAGCAGACCACTATGACGATATTTTAATTTTTTGTTGAGAAGTCACTCTCTAACCTAACCGTTCTTCAGGAAGAGATGTGCCGTTCCCGGTACAGAACGTGCAAAAATAAGAGTGCTACAGATACGTTATTTTGAATACTGTATAAAGAAGGCCGATTGTCATCGAAAGACGCGCTTCGATGTATTGCTGTCACCCACTTGGAACACAATGGATTGATCTCGTGTGTAGCGATAAACGTATTTACAATGAACTGAAAAACAAGCTGAAATAATCATCGCTGTTTGTCTTTTTTGCTTTTTCTCAGCATACTGTTTTGCTTTTTTATTTATGTGGCTTCTGTCGAATGTTCACCTCCGAGCAGAACAAGGCAAATGCCCCACGTAGATGAAAACTAACTCACTCTTCCTAGATCAGGCTCAGTGGTTTCTCACAAATTACAACGCTCCTCGTATCCCTGTAGTGTTAATTTACTGTATCCATTTGTGTACATAAGTCCCTCTGATCTTCTGACTCTTATTCATTCATTCGTCAGTTGTGATTAAAACTTAACTCGATCGCTACACACGATATCAACCTATTGTGTTCCAAGAGGGCGACATCGATACATGACAAACTCGGAGCGCGTCTTTCGATGACAATAGACCTTCTTTATCTGCTGTCGAATATTCAAAATCACGTGCACTAATAGGAGTGCGCGTTCTGAACCGGGTGAGACACATCTCCTTCTGAAGGTTGGACAGGTTAAAGAGCGACTTCTCAACAAACAACGAAATATCACCTATCACCGTTGTTCGCTTTTTTCAGAAATCCAATCAATAACAGAGAGAATCATGCCTCGGATCCGGATGAAGTTTAATAGAGTAGGGTTCACGAAAATCCAGTCTTGTAATCACGCTAACTGTGGAATTGTGAGCAGAGTTCTAGGCGATCAGATGGGCTTGTGCACGATTCGTTCAGATGAAGTAAGATACCCCATCTTTTTACCCAAAGTGCATTTTTTGGGAGAAAAGCGGCTGTAGTGAGATGAAAAACAGTAAAAAGCGTTTATTCGGACAAAACGTTTATCTCATCCCCCAAAAGCAGTCACACACAAGTTCTGTTGCATCCCGGTTTCAATTTCTTTTCGCAGTGACCAAGGAGTCAATTCGTATTGTCCGCAACACTCAACAGAATATTTTGTAGGTGTGACATTTTTCCACACACAGACGTGGATGCACCGTGTGGTAACATGTTCAGCAACTCCTACCCCGCAGCCGATTGCACAAATCAACTACTTTCATCAAAGTCACCAATTGAGTGTTTTACCGTGTTACTCGAGTGAGCATGGGAAAAACCCTAGATCACTTGCTCATCCATATCTGCTGCCTCAATGTGCTCTCCTCACCAATATATCAAGGAAATTGTTCACTTTTCAACCTTTTTCCCCGCGTGACTGTGACACCTCATGGTCTCTCCGAACAATATCAACCTTGGATCGTTTCCTTTCCCATTTCGTATTTATCACTCAAGTACTTTTCGTATCGGATTCTGGTGCAACTCAAGACAATGAGACATAATATATTGACACGCGAAATGTCCCGTCACATTACTATAGTTCACAATAGTTTATGTAGGGAGACAATTCTTACTTTGAGTAGTTTGCTTTGCACATTACAATAGACATGCACTGATGCTAGACGAACCATCAGGAATGACCCTTATTTCAGTCACCCACTGCTCGTTCACCACTGCTGGATATTCCCCTATTATTGTCTAAATTGCATGCCAAGCTCATATTTTTAATGGAATGATATAATTAGTAAGAAATAAGAACATCCGAATTTCTTTTGACTAAACTGTCAGATTGCACAAATCAAATATAACTGATGATTAGCATCATTCCAAATGAAATGGGTGACTTAATCAGCACACAACTTACTAACATTAACTAATACCGTACATAGTTCTCAAACTAACCACTCCAGGTATCGGTCAAAAGATGGAGAGCTATTTCAAAATAGAAACAGGAAACCTCAATAGCTAAACTAAAAGAATAGTGTCGTTAAAAACGTTAGCATGAAATTAACGGCACGAGGCAATCTTTGTTCGTTCCATCAACGATGATTCCAAAGTCAATAACAAGAATGGAAGGATGTTATGAGTGAGATTCAGACCCAGTGACTACACGGCTCAGTGTGAGTAATCTGTCCAAAGGTTTGGAATACATGGAAAAATCATTTTGGAACAGCTCTGTTTTCTTCAGAACTGAAAGACATGAGGTTGAGTTCGTCATGCTGAGTCGACCTGTCACTCATCACCGAAAACCCTTGGAAGCAATGCACACTGTATTGGCCTTGATAGGAAAAAATAACAGCAATTTTGTCTGTGATAGAACCGGCAGAAGTTAATGATGTGTGTACAATTATCAAACATCGAAATCATCACCGAGTCTATTGGGAATCGAACCCAGGCAAAGAGACATTAATCCGAAGCGAGAACCACCTGAATCATCCGGCCCAACTTTTACCAGCTTATACCACTTTAATGCCACAGGACATAATGCTCATTTATCACTGTCGTTGAAAGTGTACCGGACTAGACGCGAAGTATTAGTAATTGACTACCGGATGAAAGATCTAACTGCAAGGTCCTAACACAACCAATTTGATGGACATTTGCGGGATTGGTTACAAATCTGGCATGTAGTGGTATCCACGATGGTCGAAATGCTTTAATACGTGCTCATAGATTCGACCGAAAAGCATAGATGTATTCAGTGAAGTCAACATAGTGCGGGGTTTGTGTTGCCTTTGTGTTCAAATTACAGCCTCTGGGTCTTTAAGTGGACCAAATCCATAGTGGTAATACTACTAGGATGTTCAAGAGACTTTTAGAAGTCAATGTGAAACGATCACTAGTGAGGTGTGTCACCAGTGTGATGTAAGATGCAAGCACATGAAACACATCTTATGATACAGCACGTGCTTGGAGTGAGGAACCAAAAAAGGTGAACCTTCAAGAAATGGAAAATGTGATTGGATCATAAATAACCATTATCTAGAGATAAACTTTGATACCGTTTCAAACCAGGATGCTCAGGTTGTCTGTCATTAATCATGAACATATAGCGATAGAATCCCTCATTGTTGTAATGAAGCCCTTCTTTTACGTATACAAGAATATATCCGTACAGTTTAAAGAAGTCTGCCTTAAGTTATGAGTAAATTTGATAGAAAACTATTGATCAATCCCAATGCCAAAAATGTATGTTGAGGAGCAATCGCGAATGATCTTCGAGCAACAAACAATGTTATTGTCTTATTTCGGGAAAAATGTAGCCCTGTTTCAAAGCTATTATTAATCTATTTGAGAATGAAGTAAATCGAACAGTAGTGTTTTTGATGTTGAACACCTGGGAGGACTATTTATCCGTCCCATTTAACCGTCCATGTTAGTGAAGATGCTATATTAATCTCCATGAGGATATATGAATCAAATGCACTTTTAACAGTCGATTGTTTGCATGCTTTGTTTCCTGTACACCTATTCTCCGCCTTTGTACTGTCCCTCTAGATCATCCCGATCGATGATCTCCCACCAAGCCATATACGTACCGGAACCGAACTCCATCAATCGAGCCGTGAACTGAAGAAGTGAAGAAATGCCTACCCACACCCATACACATGCACACAGATAAACACACACTTAATTTGTGGATTGAAATGTTCACTGTCGTAGTTCGATCTTCCCTGAGACAAATTGATGGCCCTGAGCGTCCCCTGATATTGCTCGCAGTGGTGGATTTAACAAATGTCTTTATTGTGCCACAGCTTAGGTAAAAAACACCAGAGTAGATTAGATGAGATTTCAATCGCTTGAACAAGTTAGTGGCACATCGTGGTCTGCTCATTTCGGTGCGCCGATTTCTCCGTCCACACGGAG